AGGGAGGGAGAGAGAGAGAGAGAGAGTTGATCTAACGAGAGCTTCTGGACAAAAACAAAATGGCGACCGGCGTAGTTTGGCTCGATTAGAAAAGTAAAATAGCCGTAAGATCTTTATAGACAACCAAATTAGATTACTTAAATTGTGCTATAACATCATTTTTTTCTTTGTTTTTGTCAATTTGATCATCCACACCGATAGACATACTTTCAGAAATTAGGAAAAAACAAGTCTTATTTCACACCGGGTGAGAATAGCCAAGCTGGCAAGTCTCACCCGTGGTGAGAGGTTGATTGTATTTTTATTTTCACCCGCGATGAGAATAGCCACTTCCTTGTGGCGGAAGGATCCATGAGTCTGCATCTATTGGGACACTTGTCCGTTTGAGCTCCCGTGTATATTCGGACACGTGTGTCCTTCTACTCCAGTATGAATGCGAGTAACCGTACATTGTGGGTCTTTTTGTGTTTAAGAATGACATGCTTCTCTTTCTTTTTGGGCCAATGCATCTTTGCAGTCTGCATAAAATTGCTGTGACTGGGAAAAGCGCGATCGGCGTTGAAAGGTGCTGAAAACCAATCTCTACTGGAAATGACCCGAGGGGGGGGCCAGAGCTGAGGCTTCACAGGATTGTGTCCGTGTCCGAATAGTCACACCCTTTCCATAATGAGCGACCACTATGAAACAAGAGTAGAATAGAGGGTTTGGGTTAGGGTTTGGGGTTGGGTTAGGGTTAGGTCTCTTCTTTAATAGTCTTTATTGTGTTTGTTGGGATGGTCACTAGTTACGGAAGTCCTTCCTGTGTGGCAGTGTGTTGACGTCTTAAAGCTCAGCAGATTGCCCACAAAATGGCTGTGACTTTGCAATCAATTTTTTTTTAAAATATTGAAAAGTGACACTCTCATTGAGAATTAAATGTAGATTAAATAAATCACACATATATAAAAAAAATTATTCCTTTGTATTTTATGCTTTTGCTTGGGAGATGATTCTCAAATTGGACTTTTCTGTGCTGTAAATTTGTTTTTTTATGGGTTCTGCCTTTAGAATTATGATTTGATTGACATTTTAGCCATGCAGTCAACATTGTTTCCCTTTCTAATGAGATCTTTAAAACACTGTTTTAGCTTTATTTGCCTAAAAATTATAGCCAAATATTTAAGTGGCCCTCTGCTTCATTCAGACTGATCAAAATTAAATTCCGCCCAGGTACGGATAAATTCTGGAGACTAAAGAGTTAACCTTTTTGCACAGCATGAGGTGTTGTGATTGATGTGATCTTCTTGACCTTGTTAGATTTTTCTGTGCTTGTTCACCATGTTTGATTCCTCTTGTGCTTGTTCCAGGTGCGCGTGGACACTGACCACTCTGGTCTAAAGCTGACCCTCTACCAGTACCAGACTTGTCCGTTCTGCTGCAAGGTCCGAGCTGTGCTCGACTACCACGGATTTTCTTATGATGTTGTGGAAGTAAACTCTGTGACGAAGAAAGAGCTCAAGTGGTCTGAGTACAAGAAGGTCCCCATTCTCATCGCTGAAGTTGCTGGAAGCAAAGAAGAAGTGGTAAGGGTTAGGGCTATGGTTGGTTAGCTGTGAGGAAGGTGGTGGTCATTCCCATTACTGTGTGGTAGTTATTTTCCTAACAGTCCAGTAATTATTTACGTAACTGTATGGGGGTCATTCACATTACTGCCGTCAGCTGACAAAACGCCTTTTTTTCATTTTGGCACGAACATTTTTTATTTGCTAAATCGATAGTCTGACCTGTTACACAACTTGTGTGAAAACATCAAAGTGAAACTGTGACTAGTTTTTGAATAAATTAACATTTAAATTTAGGAAGAATGCCTTTTTTAAATGGTTACGCTGGCAAAACGCCTTTTTTTAAGGGTTCGCTCACAAAACGCCTTTTTTTTTCGCTGCGGCTTTGGAAAAAAGGCGTTCTGTCAGCAAACTCTGTTCAAGGCAAAAGCCGACAAAACGCCTTTTTATTGTCTTGTTCCAACACTGATTCTGGTCTTGAGTATGATCTCCCCATGCCCCCGCCC